AGAAATCAAACCTTTTGTACCATTGTCTTAGAGACTGCTTTAATCCGTACAAGGATTTCTTTAACAAGCAAACATGATCTTATTTTCCTTCAACTTCAAATCCTTCGGGTTGATGCATGTATATTTGTTCCTCAAGTTCGCAATGTAAGAAAGTTGTCTTAACATCAAGTTGTTCTAATTTCAAATCATACATTTTAACGAAGGCAAGAAATACATGAATAGAGCTATGTTTAACAACATGTGAGAAAATATCATTAAAATCAACTCCTTATACCTGACTATAGCCCTTTTCAACTAATCGTGCCTTATACCTAGCATCTTCAACCCCTGGAATGCCATCATTTTTCTTGAAGACCCATTTGCAACCAACAATTCTTTTTTCTGATGGCGGCTTCACAAGAGACCAAGTACCATTCTTGTGGAGAGACTCAATTTCTTCATTCATTGCAATCAGCCACTTGGCTGAGTCAGCACCAGAAGCTGCTTCTGAATATTTTGATGGTTCTCCCATTTCTTCAGTTTCCTGTGCAACTGAAAAAGCAAATGCAACATAATATCCAAACCTTAATGGTTGTTTACCTTCTCTTCTTGGTCTATGTTTGGCTATAGAATACTCCTCATCTTCTGGTTCAACTTCAGGAGTCTCAACTTCAAGAATTTCAGCTTCTGTCTCAACTTCAAGAGTTTCAACTGTATTTTGCTCCAAAGTTGATGAGCTTGGCTCAGAATGAATGCCAATCTCAATCTCCACCTGGTTCTGTGTACTCTTTCATTTATATGTATTACAAGAACTAAAAGACTCTTTTCTAGAATGTAACATAGATGATTCATCAAAGGTTACATCTCTGCTAATTATAAATTTTGTTGTCGTGGTATCAGGATACCATAGTCGGTATCCTTTCACCCCAGATGCATACCCAAGGAAAATACACTTTTTAGCCCTTGGCTCTAATTTCTCATCATTTACATGCATGTATGTAGGGCAACCAAATATCTTTAAATCAGAATAATTAGCAGGAGTACCTGACTACATTTCCTCTGGAGTCTTAAAGTTCAAAGTTACAGAAGGAGCTCGGTTGACAATATTACAAGTTGTAGAGATAGCTTCTGCCCAAAAGGCATTTGTCAACCCAGCATTTGAAATCATGCAACGAGCCCTTTCCAAAAGAGTTATATTCATCCTTTCTACCACACTATTTTTCTGAGGTGTCAATCTCACAGTACGATGTCGAGCAATTCCTTCATTCTTGCAAAATTCGTTGAATTCATCATTACAAAATTCCAAGCCATTATTTGTTCTAAGCCTCTTAACTTGTTTTCCTGTTTGCTTCTCAATCAAAATTTTTCATTGTTTGANAGCCATTATTTATTCTAAGCTGTTTAACCTGTTTTCTTGTTTGCTTCTCAATCAAAACTTTCCATTGTTTGAAATTTAAGAAAATATCACTTTTATTTTTCAGAAAATAAACCCAAACTTTTCTTGAATAATCATCAATGAAAGTTAACATATACTTGGCACCACCTTTTGATGGGGTACGTGAAGGACCCCAAAGATCTGAATGAATGTAATCCAAAGTACCTTTTGTTCTATGAATCGGTGGAGATTTGAAGTTGACTCTTTTTTGCTTCCCCGAACACACAATGTTCATAGAATTCCATATTTCCGGTTTGGCCACATAAGAGACCTTTTTTGCTGAGGATGGAAAGACCTTTTTCACTCATATGCCCCAATCGCATATGCCACAATTTGGTGATGTCAGAATCTGATTTATCTGATATTGAAACTGCAGCAGCACCTGTAACAGTAGATACCAAAAGAGTATACAACGTACCAGATCTGCGTGCTTTCATGATCACAAGAGCACCATAAAAATTTTTTAGAACTCCACCTTTACTTGTGTACTTGCACCCAAGAGATTCTAGAGTGCCCAAAGAGATGAGATTTTTCTTCAAGTCAGTAACATGTCTAACATCGGTGAGAGTTCTCACCACACCATCGTGCATTTTGATTCGGACTGTACCTTTTCCAATAACTTTGCAGGCAGCATTGTTGCCCATCAAGACAACTCCACCTCCAATAGATTCATATGTGGTAAATAAATCCCGACTGGGACACATATGATAAGAACAACCCGAATCTAAAATTCACTCATTGTTAGATTTGAAACTATTATTAGTTGCTAAAAAAATAGTTCCCTCAGTCTCATCAGCAGCTACACTTGCTTCGGCAGTGTCAGTATTTTTGTGCTCATTTTTCTTTTCTGTATGCTTTTCTTTGTTTTTCAATTTAAAGCATTCAGAAATAATGTGACCTTTCTTATGACAATATTTGCACATGACATTTCTGTATCTGGATTTTGACCTTGATTTAGTTTTTTCACTACTTGAATCTTTCTTATTGGATCTACCTCTTATGAATAAGCCTTCCCCTTGGTTCCCACTAGTTTTTCCAGTAATATCTCTATCTATTTATTCTTTTGATTTCAAAATAGATTTGATATCTTTATAAGAGATATTATCATTTCCATAAAGCATAGTATCTCTTATATGTTTGAACGACTGGGTAAGGAAACAAGCAATAACATATCTTGATCTTCATCTTTGATTTCAGCATCTATGTTACTTAAATCCATAAGAAGAGAATCAAAAGTATCAAGATGTGTAAGTATAGAGGTACCTTCAGCCATACAAAAAGTGTAGAGTTTTTGCTTTAGGTAAAGCATGTTTTCTATTGTTATTTTAATATATAGGGTTTTAAGCTTTTTCCATATACCTTTGGCTGAGCTTTCTGCTGCAACTTCACGCAAAACCTCATTTGAAGATTTAAAATAATACATGTTTTTGCCTTTTTGTCTATGACGGTAAACTCCTCGTCCGTCATTTTATCCGGCATCTTCTCCTTTTCTTGCAGTGCCAAATCTAAGCCATCCTGAATTAGGATAGCTTCCATCTTTAATTGCCACATTTCGAAGTTTGAACTTCGGTCAAATTTCTCAACATAAGACTTTGTTAGAGTCATTTTGGCTATTTAAACTAACCCAGTTAGATCTGGCTCTGATACTAATTTGTTAGGATCGGGTTACCGGGTAGTGCGGAATTTAGCCAAACAACGTTATAGTGACAATAATAAAGACAATGCAAGTTGATAATAACGGCAATTAAAGAAAATAAAGAAGACACAAATTTAACGTGGTTCGATCAAGGTGACCTACGTCCGCAAGCGGAGAGGAGCAATTTTAATATACCAACAAGAGTACAAAATTAGAGTAAATACTCTAATTAGTCCCAAATACCCCAAGCGAATAACCTCACAAGATCACTCCAAAGAAAGGGTTCACACAAGTGTTTCTCAACACTCACTCTCTTACAAAATTCTCTATAATGAAATAAAGGAGGAGAACGAAAGACAAGAGTGAAAAGCTCTTGAATTGGTGTGTTTTCAAATGAGGAGAAGCTCTTCTATTTATAGCAAGAAATCCTTGGCCTAATAGTGGATATTATGTCATGGCAAATGTCATGATCCACAAATTTTGTTACAGTGGATATTATGTCATGTCAAATGTCATGAAAATTTGGCCTCCACTTGAGAAGAAGCCAAATTAATGGCCATATTACATATTCAATAGGTACCAATGTTAATTAAGCTGTCAAAATGAAAATTGAAACCAAATTTGAGAGGCGTATTTTCCCGGAAGGAAAAAAGAAATGTGTGAAGTCATTATTATACAAAGTATAGCAATAATAAAAGGAACTTATTTCCAAAACAAAAAGAAACTCATTGGTAATTGGATTAAGATTTCATTGTATAATTTAATGATACAGACAACCTGAAAGCTCCTCATTAAAAATTGTCCCCTGCAGAGAATACGTTCCAAAAACAACCAAACGATTGGCTACATATATTTAATTAATTCACAGACATTTTCATGGTAGTTTCTCCTTGTAAGTTACTGCACAGTCTCAAGTTTGCTACATGTCTCTTTCCTAAGAGTCCGTTTGGACATAAGAATTTTTTATTTTTTGTCGAAATCAGTGTTTGACCATAAAATTTTCAATTTTCACTTGAAAATGAATTTTAGAAATTTTTGAAAATTTTAAAAACTCCAAAAAGTTATTTTTCAAAACTTTTACTCAGATTACTCAAAAAAATTCAAAATAACCCAAAATTATATTCATGTCCAAACACAACTATAATTTTCAAATACCATTTTCACTTTTTTTTTGAAATTTTTCCATTCTTATGTCCAAACGCCCACTAAGTCTGTGATAATAAAAATTTACTCACATTTGGTATATACTGTTTATATCAAATTTATTAATAAATTATACTTAAATGTTAAATTAAGGTATATATTTAGTAATCATGATTAAATAATAACTATACACATGTTAACTCCGTCTATGTGAGATTACTCATGTTGCTAGTTCTATGTCTGGATAAAGGAGAAGGGTTGCGGTAGGTTGACAACCAGCGTAAATATTATCAATTTATGATAAATAATAACAACTTAGTCGATCCCAACTTGCTTAGGAGTGAGACATAGTTATTGTTGTTATAACAGTGAGTGCACATATTATGTATTTATCGGAATATGAACGCCAGATGTTACTCCTCTGTCGCAAATTATGTGGCGAAACTCGAATTTGGAGAGTCAAATTTCTTAATTTTTATCGTGAATTCGGATATAAAATCTGTAAATTTTGTGAAATAAAATTTAAATATTTGGAAGTTACGTAAAAAATAATATAAATCACAATAGTTATCAATTCAAAATATATATATAAAATATATTAAAAAGATCAATAAAAAAAATTAGTTTACTCTCGAAATTCGAACTCCGCCGCATAAATTGGGACAGAGGGAGTATTAAGTTTTTCCATCTTGATCCGCCTTCTCTCATCAATATTTCTAGTCTAATTTTCCAATAACCCTTTTTATTTTGCCATATCCAATTAGTCTTAGGTACACTTCAGCTCACATGGGAGTAAGCATCATCCTCAACCGCCACCCACAATTCACATTAAAATCTGTCTTCTTTTATTGCTAATATATTAATTAAGCAGAACAAAGTTGAATAAATAGAAAATTCCTTAAAGTCTAAGTTCTTGAAAATAAAGGGACATTCTCATATTCATTTTCATATAGTAACTGTGACAGTGGGGTGGACTGAACCAAAAAAGTCAAGATTTACCAGCTACTATTTTGGTTATAGGATCTGGGGTCTGTTCACTCTTTTGCTAACACAAATTTAAAGGGCTAATTCAGGTGAGAATTAATGAGAATATGTTCGTTGTTGCTATTTTGTGTGTGTGTGTGTGTAAATTCATCACTTTGATCTTTCTGGTTGTTCCAAGATTTTCATTTGCACCTGTGAGTGTGTGTCTGTGTGTGTAAATTCATCACTGTGATCTTTTTGGTTGTTCCAAGATTTTCATTTGCACCTGTGAGTGTGTGTCTGTGTGTGTAAATTCATCACTGTGATCTTTTTGGTTGTTCCAAGATTTTCATTTGCACCTGTGAGTGTGTGTGTGTGTAAATTCATCACTGTGATCTTTTTTGGTTGTTTCAAGATTTTCATTTGCACCTGTGAGTGTGTGTGTGTGTAAATTGATCACTGTGATCTTTTTTGGTTGTTTCAAGATTTTCATTTGGGTGCATTTGATTACATTTGTTTGGTCCTTTTTCTGTTCATTTCTCCTTTTGTATAGATGCTAAGGTAAAAAAAGATCATTGTTTGATCAAATGATAAGCTTATACATGAACTTACTGGAACAAAAATGGAGTCTTTAAGCTGTTTTACAGTCTTCTTAATAACTTGTAATTTTGTCATTTGAGATGTAATTATTATTGTTGTTTAGGTCACGGGTTGGAGCCGTAAAAACATTCTCTTGCATAAATCCAGGGTAAGGCCGGGCCCGCGTACAATAGACCTTTGTAGTCCGACCCTTTCTAGGGCGGGCTTAGTGCTTGGCGCTGCCCTTTTTTAATGATATTATTTTTTGTTTATCACAGTTGTAGCTATCTCTTTCATTTGTCTCTTTTCCCTCTTATTTATCCGTTATTCTTTAAAGATTAGGAAGAATATAATGAGAATTAAGAAATGAATACTCATAATTCTAATTTGAATATTTCAGAGGAGATGAATCTATTCAATTTTTGAGAAGTTTATATTTGTCTTTATAGATGGCAACTAATTCTTTATATTTGGTTCTGCTTTCAGTGACTCAAACCTTTGAAAGTTTCTTCAAGACAAAGAATTAGTTTATGTGAGTACATTTGGCAAATCTTATTAGTTTAAAACATTCATTATGTTTGTTGTTTTTTCAAGATTTTATGTCGATATCTGACTAATTCTACGTGAAATTTTATGATATAGAATATATCTCAAGATAGTCTGAGATCAGTTATGTACAGATCATTTGTCACTTGTGATAATCCCAAAGGTGTTATTGAAGGTAAGACAATTAAAAAATCCAAGATTGACCCTCAAAATATGGAAGATCATAAAGTTGGAAAACAAAAGGATTCTAAGGATATTGCAAAAGATTTGTTGAAAGGAGCTCTTGATTTACAAGAGTCAATAGTTATGCTGGGGAAATTGCAAGAAGCTTCAGAATATTTGACAAAGTTGAGGAAAATGGGAATTGGAAGGACCAAATCCGAACGCGTTGCAGATCACAAGTACGATAAGGTGGAGTTTGAGAAGCCAAGATTTTCTGTTGATGGTTCGCGGGATTGTTATGATGAGTTAAGGGAAGCGATAAGAGATGGTCTTGCTAGACAAAATTTGTTGCCGTCATGTTCAGAGAAGGCTCGTATCGATAGAAGAAAAGTAGAGTTATCTCCGGATTTCCCCTCTACTAGCTTCACTAGCTCGAGTGAGTCATCGATAGAAAAGTCTCGTGTTGTTGATGGGAAAAAAGTGGTTTTATCACCTGATTTCCCGTCCACTAGCTCAAGCCAATGTTCCATGGTTCAATATCAAGAGTTTGCCTCTTTTGACTCTTCTCCAGAAAAGACTCAAAAGGAGAAGCCGAAAGCGCCAAATTTGATTGCAAGACTAATGGGACTTGAAGAGATTCCCACAACACAGAAACAACTAGAGAAGGATAAGGTTTTGAAGCAGAGAAGGCCTATATTTGAAATAGATTTGCCAAAGGCAAAGAAGCCGCCTGTCATCGGTCAGAGGGCGGATCCAAAACGGAGAACATTGGATGGAATAATTGAAACCATGCAATTCAAAGGCCTTTTGAGAAGCAAGTGTATTGAGGGATCTAATAATGTGATCTCTCATCAAACTAGTGTTTCTCATTTCTTGAAAAGTTTTGCCGATGATGCTCCACCTATTGTGATCATGAAGCCAATGTACGCTCCAGAAATGCAGGCACAAAAGTTTCCTTCAGACACTAAAGAGACATTTGGAAAATGGAACTCAAAGGAAGAGAATTCACCTGTGAATTTCACTATTTACCGGAAATTGCAGACACGGAAGGTTCAGAAGACTAACTTCATCGACGAAAAAGGATCCAAGGAGGGTGGTGTAGCGCCTTCACGTCAAAAGACTAATGAAGTTGTCATTAATGGAAAACTGCCTTCTACAAAGAATAGAGATTCTTCTCCTGTAAAGAATAAGCAACCAAAGAAAGAAGCGATAGAAAAAAAGGTTGAGAGAACTCAACGAGCTGTTGGCGCGAAGAAATCTGGAGAAATGAAAAATGCTGATCTCAATAACACTGCTAAATTTCAGGATCAAAGCAAGAAGACCACTGCTAAAGTGAGGAAACCTGAGCGAAAGCCGAATACACCAGATAAACTTGTTGCGCCGCCAAATAGTACTATCTCAAAGCGCGTCAAATCCATTGCAACTAATAACTCCAGAAATAGGAAGAAGAATGTCAAAACTGAAAAGTCTATCAAGAGTTCCTCCATTGTTCCTATGGTAAGTGCACCCTTATACCCTTTATCTTGAAGTCTTAATTAATTTTCTTCAATAAATTTTATTACCCCAAATGTTATTATTATTCGGATAAGATTACAGTCACAATTTTAGGGACACTAGAAAGTGGCTCTTACCTGTCGAACTTTATTTAGAGAGAGCTTCTTTTGTATTTGTCAAGACTAATGGAATATGTCGATGCAGGTTGAGATTATGGAACACAAGGATGACAACAACCAGATTGTGCACGCAGTTGATCGAGACAGTAATATAACCATAACCAAGATTACATCCTCTGAAGAGATTCCCTGTGAGGAAGTGACTGAAATCTTTGAAAATGTTGTCATTGGTAAGGCCCTCGTTTCGATATGTTTGACGTGGTGTCATGTAATCAGTATCAATTTTGCATTGTCTTGTGCTTTAGGCAACCTTTCGCAAATCTTCATTGTGAATTATGATAGCTTATTCAGTTAGTTCGCCGCTCAGTGAACCAGGTTAGGAAACCTTCGAGTAGCAACTGAAGTTCATCTAGCTTAAACTTATATGCCATTTTGAAGACAGACACATAAACTTCGTTATTACTATTATAGGTTCACCGTCTCTATATAGGTCCATCTACCTCTTTCCTTATTCGATCTCTTCAGAGGACTGCAATAAAGAAATGATTATGAAAAAGGTTCTTGCATCTTTACAAGTTACGGAGAAATGTATCTTCTACTACTCTAGTTATTGATCCGAGTAGATTAATCTCTAGTCGCGGTACAAATACTTACATCATACAATGATTTCTTCTATTGCAGATAATCTTAATACTGATGAAAGTTTCGCATCTGAGTCTACCGTGCCATTTATCCAGTGTGACCATGACATCCCCCTAATGGAGCACACCAGCTATCAAGTTTATCTACATTCAACTGAAAAGGAAGACCTTAAATCTAGAGCGACTACACGACACATACTGTTGAGCAACGAATCATTCCTCAGTCGAGCAGAGGAGCTTTTCGATACTGATGCATGGGAACCAACAGTATGGAAAACAATTAGTGTCGACAATGAAATGGCGGAAAACACACTCTTATTGGATTGTGCCAATGAATTATTAGAACATAAAAGGTCTCAGTGTACCCTGGCAGTATCGAAAAATCCCATTAAGACGCTGAAAATTTCCATCTCCTTTGACAAGTTGGTGAATGATATATGCGACAAGATTGAAGTCTTGAGAAGTTACAATAAGGTTGATGGCAATAACCTTTCAGTTGACACTCTTTATGCTTTGCATGAAAGAGATATATGGTGCAATGAAGTAGTTAGTACAACATGGGATCTTGGTTGGAGAAATGGATTTACTTTAGATGAGGTTGAACAAGTAGTGACTGACATTGAGAAGCATCTTTTAACTGGAATTATCGACGATGTACTTACTGAGTTCGTACTATAGTGACTGTACATATTCAGGTTGACATACACAACAACAACATACCCAGTATGATCCCACATGTGAGGTCTTGGGAGGGTGGGGTGTACGCATACCTTACCGCTACCTTGTGTGAGGTAGATAGGTTGTTTCCGATAGACGCTCGGATCAAGAAAAGCAGGTTGACATACATAATGTGTAAATAATAAATCTTTTACTTCATGGGGTGTATAGTATTAAAAGCTGGTTTTTTGGAGTTACAGAATAACACAAAGCTGAATAGTTCTAATAATTTGTTGCTGAATTGATCTTCAGAGTTGTAAATTTATTGCTGAAAAAGGAATATAGTGATGTCTTTCTATACATGATTTATTTGATTGCATTTCCAAAGCTTGATCAATCTTCTCTACTTTTCCAGGGAACAATAAACTGCATTTGAACAAATATCTGTTCTTTTATAACCATCTGGTATCCCATGTTCAGAACCAGAGGGGAACTAGGATTTTTAGTTTATGGATTTTGGACCATAATCCTTTTATTGGATTCTAAATAGACTATTTGTACATATGAATTTTTTAACACAAATACAGGGTTTGAGCCAAAGCTATTGGGTTTTGCCGAACCCGTAGCTATAAGGCTGGCTCCGCCCCTGTTCGGACCCACTGGCCCGACTAATTCGTATTCTCGGCGCTTATGGTCCGTTATAGGGGGAACCACTCTCTACCAGGGGTTTCTCCATTCCCAATGTTTCAACAAGACTTTTGATTAAGGATGAAGGAAATAGTGGATAATTATACATATAGAGAATATTGATTTGCTGTTATAATGGGAGTCTTGGAGCAGCAGTGAAGTTGTCTCTGTGTGACCTACGTCACGGGTTCGAGCCGTAGAACCCCACTAATGCTTGCAGTCTACATCACACCCCTTAGAGCTGCGGCCCTTCCCCGGACCCTACATGAATGCGGGAGGCTTTGTGCACCGGGCTGCCCTATGTTTGAAAGATGAAATATCAACAATTAAGGAATAAATCAGACATCTTGGAGTATGCACTATCAATATGGTCATAGCTTATCTGGAGCTTGTTAGTCGCAATTGATTGAGAAAATATCATTACGCAATAATCATAGTAGGTTCTAAACATGTTCTGTTGAAATGATTGCAAGTATCAAATAAAATTTGAAGTTTATTTAAGGCACAATACATATAGTTTGAGTTGCTTGATTACATAGAACTTATTTACTTCATGACTGATTAGTATAAATAAAAATATTATCATAATTTTATTTAAACACAACAATAACTACAGTCATGTTAACCTCTCAAATTTCAACCTCACATATTTCCTTGATATAGTACTATATAACAACCATTTCATTTACAATAATGAAAAAAATGAAAATATTGTCTTTGATCCTAACAAATATTTCTTTGGTGATTTTACTTATACTGACTGTAAAAAAATTTACTTGTTGTAACATGTTACCTACCTCATTTTCAGGTTATTAATCTTACTATTATATGTAGGAGTTAAATTTAGAATTTAAATAATTCTAAAAATAAAAGAAAAACGATTGGAGTTGGTATAATAAATGTACGACGCATACCAACTAGTGGAGTGATAAGTACTCCTTTATCTTTCACCAGGGGTCTCGGGTTCGAATCCTAACTATGGAGTCACCCTTGTTAGAGAATGCTTTACCATCTCCTCCCCCC